GGGGCAAGTAACATTCATGCCACACAAGTGTCAGGTAATGAACATCTCCAAATCTAACCATTGCCTCTTGACATACAATGGCACAAGCATCACTGAAAACCCCACTACTCAGATTCTGGGGAGCCACCACTGACCAGAAAATAAATACAGCATACAAATACTGTGACTACAAGAGCCAGAGACTAGAAATTCTGCAACGAATAATTCATTTCCTGACCCTCCGAAGCTTGTCCATGTCTTCAAGGCACAAGTCAGAAGTGTGGTAGAATATTCTCCACTTGCCTGGATGACTACAACTCCAACAATACTCAACAAGCTTGGAACAATCCAGGACAAAGCAGCCATTTGGTACCACATCACTTCCTCCAACAGTAAAATTCATGGTCAGAACAGCAGTGTTCCATTATATAAAGTGAGGCTGGAGAGACCAGTGAAAATTGGTGAAGTGGTGGTAGGAGTAACAGAGAAATTCTCAGTTGCAGAAATCTAATTTATCCTTGGTAATGATCCACCTGGATCACAGGTGGGAGTGATGCCAACTGTGGTTGAAAAGCCAATGGAAAATTAGGAACTGAGGTGTTACAGAAAGGACACTGTGGGATTTTTCCTGACTGTGTAGTAACAAGGGGAGACAATGGTAATGGTATTATCACTGGACTGTTAATCCAGAGGCCCAGATTCAAATCACACCACAGCAGATGGTGGAATTTGAATTCAATAAAATATCTGGAATTAAGGATCTAATGATGACCATGAACCCATTGTTGATTGTTGGAAAAACCCATCTGGTTCACTAATGTCCTTTAGGAAAGGAAACTGCCATCTTTACATGGTCTGGCCTGCATGTAACTTCAGACCCACAGCAATGTGGTTGACTCTGAACTGCCGTCTGGGCAATTAGGGACAGGCAATAAATGTTGCCTGGTCAGCAACACCCTCATCCTGTGAATGAATAAAAAAAAGTCACAAAGCCACAAGTTGAAGCAGGAGGAGAAACCAAAGAATAAAGATAAAGAAGTTGAATTTTAATTATCAGAAACTATGTTTGATCAAATGATTGAGAAAAGTACCAAGAACAGGTGGAGGACAAAGTGGTTATTTTTAGTTCAGAAATATTAGCTGAATTACAACAGAAAGATGCAAAACAAAAGCAGTTTTATCAAAAAGCATACACAGAAGAAGAACTTCAGTGTATCCCAGAATGTTACGATCTTAAAAATGAAGTCTTGATGAGGAAATGGAAACCATCACATATTCATCAAGTGGTATTACCGGTGGTTTAAAGAAAGGAAGTACAACAGGTAGCACACCAATTACCAGCAGGTTGTCATTTGGGAGGAAGGCAAATTCAAGCCAAAATACAAAAACATTTTGTCCTGCACTGCATAAGGATTTGGTTGATATTTGCTAGACGTATCATACGTCAGCTAATTGGTAATCAGCCAGTGATAAAACCAGTACCCTTAATACCCATTCCCGCATTTGAGGAACTTTTGCAAGAATCTTAATCGATTGCATTTAAACCCGACTTAAAACAAAAAGCGGGAATCAGTATTTGTTAACCATAATTGATGTGTCTACTAGATTTCCAGAGGCCATTCCATTACACAGTCTCATGGCTAAAGGGATTGTAGGAGAGTTACTCAAACTTTTGTACTCGAAACTGACTACCCACAAAGATGCAATCGGATCAACAGTCAAATTTTACATCAAAGTTATTGAAGGGAATTATGGATAGCTTGGGAATAAAACAAATCTAAATTGACTGCATACCATCCAGAATTGCAGGAAGCATTAGAACTGTGGCATCAAACTTTAAAGACCATATTAAGGGTTTATAGTCAGGAATTCCATTTGCACTTTTTGCAATTAGGGATGCACGTAAAGAAACAACTAAATTCAGTCCATTTACATTAGTTTTTGGGTGGGAGGTGAGAGGACCACTGAAATTAAGGAGAAATTGGCAAGTCAGAGTTCAGAGACCACATATTTGGACTGTGTGTCAAATTTTAGGCAGACATTAAACAGAGCAGGTGAATTGGCTAGACAGGTGAAACTTTAAAGGCAAGGTTTAGTTGGCCTTATCAAATAGGTAAGAAATGGAGTGAGGTGAATTATTTGATAAGAATGCCAGATAGAAAGATATCTCAGAGTGTGTCATGTGAATATGCTCAAAAGGTATTTTGATAGGGAAGGAAAACAAAAAGACAGCATGCTACTGGTTGCAACAGAGTGAAGAATCAAGTTCAGATGATTCTGAATTGGACATTCCTCAAATTAAACTGGACAATGAGGAAGTTCTCAAAAATTGGGATAAATTATTGAATTACCTTTCAGAGGAAAACAGAAATTATCTGAAAGAATTATTACAATCACATGGGAAGATATGTGGGAATAAGTCAGGAAGTACTAATCTAATTATGCATGATGTAAATATAGGAAATGCTGTTCCAATTAAGCAACATCCTTATAGAATTAACCCTCTAAAGTTGGCACAAGTTCAAAAAGAAATTGAACGCATGTTCGAATACAATATAATTGAAGTGGGTTGCAGTGAATACAGCTCACCCACAGTGATGGTGCCAAAACTAAATGGTGCCCAATGATTATGTGTAGATTATCAAAGTTGATGCAGTTACAAAATCTCATTCATATCCTAATCCATGTTTGGAAGACTGTACTGACAAGGTGGTACAAGCTATATATATTTCAAAATTGGACTTAATCAGAGCGTACTGGCAGGTACCTTTATCCAAAGGAGCAAAGGAAATTTCGGCTCTTGTGACACTGAATGGACAATACCAGTTTAAAGTTACGCCATTTGGTATGAAAAATGTGCCAGCCACATGTTAAAGAATAACCAATAAGGTCATTTGGGGCTTACATAATTGTGTGGTGTACATGGACGATCTGGTGATGTTTAGTCACAGAAGGAACAAACATTTGGAGCATCTTTTGGAATTGTTCAATCAATGTCGGGAGGCAGGCTTGGTGATAAACCTGGCTAAGAGTGAGTTCGCAAGAGCTCAAGTCACGTTCCTTGGCCATGTCATTGGATATGGATAACTGGCCCCATGGGGTGTGAAAATAAAGGTTATTGGGGAGTTTCCCATACCATTGATGATGACGATTCCTAGGATTGAGTTCTTTTTAAGCAGAAGCTCATACCAAATTTTAGCAGTGTGGTTGCTTCACTGACTGACTTGTTGAAGTAGTGCAGAAAGTTTCAGTGGACATAAGAATGTCAGAAAGCATTTGACAGCCTGAACGCTTTGTTAACCATTGCCCAGTGTTAGCTACACCTAATTATGCAAAGCCATTCAAAGGTGGCTGTCGACGCAAGTGATGTGGGTGTCAGTGCTGTACTCTTGCAAGATGACAAGATAGAAAGACCTATTGGGTATTTTTCCAGAAAATTGAATAATCATCAACAGAAATATTCCTCAATTGAGGAGATGTTGAGTTTAGTGCTGGCATCGTAACATTTCAAATTTATATTGCCAGTAATGTGTCTAAAATAACTACATATACTGATCATAATCCCTTAACATTTTTGGGAAAATTTGTGGATAAAAATTTCAGACCGTTTGGATGGAGCTTATTATTGCAGCCATTCAATTTGAAATTTATACACATGACAGAACAAGAGAATGTAATTGCCGACGCATTGTCGCAACTTTGAAGGAAGAAAGACATAGGCGTTCAGTGGCAGGGAATAAATGGATTGAAATGGACTGTAGACTCTAAGCTTACATGCTTAGAGTCAATGTAATGTATACGTGTTGTATTATAGTCTACTGATAGCACAAAACAAAATTTTTTTTTAAAAATTAAGCCGTCTTTGTATATCAATGGCTTTTTTAAAAACCAAGACGGGAGGAGTGACGTTTCAATGGCTTTAAGAGGTGCATTTTGTCCTGGACTTTTTTATGCAGCGAGGTTGAGGCAGAGGAAGAGGAGGCAAGCAGTCTACTTAAAGCCAGTAAAGTAAACAGCTTGTGAGGCCTTGGGTTTTGTTTTGAAAGTTGGAACAATAGAAGCAGCCTGACTGGGTGAGGTCAAACCCCCACAGAACCAAGCTTTTAGTTTTGGCTTTTAGTAGCAGTTGCTGGGGTCTTGATGTGGAAGCTGTTTTGTCCTCTCTGTTACAGCTTAAAGTTCGGGTTCTCCTCCTACTGCTGGAATTGCATGAAACAATCTATTGTATTGACTTCACCTTTGCCAAGGATGCGTTTATGGGACGTTACTATATTGGAACAGTTAATGAGTATGTTATTATTTTGTTAAGTATTTCGATGGAGTTACAGTTAAGCCAATTCTTTTATGTTGTTTGCATTTTAACTATAGTGTATGAATAAAGTGTGTTTTGCTTCATGCCTGGTAGTTTAACCAAGCAAATTGCATATGGAGAAAGGCCCGGCATCTACCTTTAAAATAAGAAAATGTTAGGGTCTAGGCTATCTCCTTGACATGTCTTGAGGGAGTTTGGTCTGGTCTATAACAATGTTGAATACATCAGGTAATGACCCAGCTTTGTTGCTACAGAATAATCAATCTGAAACTTCCATTCAATATTTGGGTACAAACAACAGCTGGCAGTAAAGAGGCAGCAAACAGGAAGGTAAAACAGGAGCTGGAAAGAAGTTCCAAAGATGTAAGACAGCCATAGTCTTTCAGTCCTAAATATCCTTGTCTAGCCAAGATTGGAAATAGTGCTTGACCAATAGAAATCTTTCATATACAAACTACAACTATCCTTAATTACATGCACTTTCAGTCGGGGTCACTATACATAAACTAAGTATTTGATGTTAATACAACTTCTGACATTCAATACTATTCAATGATCTAGTAGAAGAGTAAATGAAGCAGCACAAATCAGATCAAGGATAGCTCTTTTGTCAAGACAGCAAATCTTAACCACCAAGGTTACTCCCAATAATTCAAAATCACAGGTCTAGAGGTATCCAAATAGCTCTCCAAATTAAATTAGAACTTACCAATTACTGATTCTACTGTATTGCTAGCAGGGTAAAATGGAACTGCTTTGGCATTCATAGTTGACAATGTAGAGGGAGATGAAGTATCAGATCCAATACTAGATGCCAAACTGGATGTTATACTGGAGGCTAGTGGATTTACCACCGAAAACACATTTAAAAGATTCTGCAAAGGACAGAAACAATTTGATTAGAACAAGATTGAACATACTAACCAATGAAAATTAATTTCTAATTGCATTTATTAAATACAATTTATTTCACAAACTCCATTATGAGAAACAATCAAATCCATTTATAAATGAAGCTTTTCCAAAACCTATTGATTTTTGATATTTTCCCCAATTGTGGGAATACTACATGTTATAAATATTTCAGTCATATTACTCAGGGTCTTATTAATCTGTAACTAAAGGACAAATACTCAATTGCACTGTGCTGCAAGTTAACCAAAATATATTTTTTGCATCATGACTGCCTTAATTACAATATTTCAAGTTGTTAAGTGCCAAGTAGAAATTCTGTGGAGAATCTCAACTCCCAACATGAGGTTATACAGGAGGACTATCTTCTACATTGGCCAGCAAAACCCAGGCTAGAGAAACACCAAGAGTGATCGGAGGAAAAACAAATATGTCAAAACTAAAGCATTTGTCTTTAGTAAGATGTGTCATGGGCACGCAGGGTCATAGAGACCAAGAAGATTTGGTCACAGATATGCTAAGTTAATTTCAGCAGATGGTTAATCTCAGCCAGTTCAGTTGTCCCTGGAGACAGAAAGGGAATGGGTGACCACTAGGCAGTCTGAGAGAAACAGGCAGATAGTTCAGCAGTCCCTTGGAGTCCTACTCACAAAACGATCTTCCTTTTTCAGAAACAGAAGAGGACACTGGCTTTTCAATGGAGTGCAGTCAGAGCCACATTTTTGGCACCATCAGCATCTCAGTTATACAAGAGGAAGAAGAAAGGAGGGTAAATAGTGATAGGGAATTCATTAGTTAGATAAAAAGACAGGCATTTATGGCATAGATGAGACTCCAGGATGATACATAGCCTCTTTGGTGCCAGAGTCAAGGATGTAACAGAGAGGGTGCAACACATCCTTCTGGGGTAGGTTCAACATTCAGAAATTGTAGTCCACACCAGTACCAATGACTGGGGTTGGGAGGGAGGGAGGGAGATGTGGTCCTATAATCAGGACTTGAGGAACTAGGTAAAAAAGAAAATCAGCAAGCAGGACCAGATTACTTCCAGTGCTTTGTGCAGAGGTGTACAGAAACAGAAGGCAATAGATGAATGCATCCGAATGAGTGATGCAAGTATTATATAATAATAATTTGGGACTTTATACAAACGTAGACTGGTACAGTGGTAGTGCTAAAGAGGGACAGGAAGGAATGCTTCTAAATTGTGTTCATGAACTTTTCTTGCAGCAATCTGTAGTCTAGGAAAGATTCACTGATGAACCTTGTTCGTGGAAATGAGGTGGGCCAAGTAAAACAAGTATTATCGAAGGCAAATTCAAGAGATTGTTTATTGTATCAAAGTTTAGGGTGATGATAAAAAGACAATAGGTAACCAAGAGTAAGAATCATCAACTGGGGCGAGTAGACTTTAATGGAGAAAGAACAAAAGGTTGATGGGAGAAAACTGTGACTGAATAGTAGGTTATCTTCAAAAGAGGAGCTGATCGAGGTACATTCGGAGGTGCATTCTTTGAACAAAAATAGAGCGCAAACAGATCCAGAGCTCCACAGATTAAGAAAAGAAGAAATAAATTAAAATAAAGAGCACTTATGACAGGTGTCAGGTAGAAAATAGTGAGAACTTAGAAGGGCAAAAATGGAGATGCGAGGTGGGGCCAGAAAACATATTAGTAAAATAAAACGTTAAATGAATGATTTGGATGACAATATAGCAGCATCATTAGCAAGTTTGCAGATGACACTAAAATTGGTGTAAAGTGGACAGTGAAGAAGTTTATCTAAGATCACAAAGGGACCTTGGTCAATTGGATCAATTGGCTGAGGAGTGGCAAATGGAGTTTAATTTGAATAAAAGTGAGGTATTGCATTTTGGTAATACAAACAAGGACAGGACTTGTGTATTGTGTGCAGTTCTAGTTGCCCTGTTATAGGAAGGATAGTATTAAATTGGAGAGGGTTCAGAAACGATTTACCAGATGTTGCCGAGAATACAGGGATTGAGATATAAATATATACTGGAAAGACTGGGACACTTTTGATGGAGGATAGGAGGTTGAGGGATGGTCTTGTAGAGGTTTATAAAATCCCGAGGGGCATAGAAAAGGTGAATGACAAATGCCTTTTCTCTAGGGTGGGGAGTTCAAATCTCAGGGACATTTTTAAAGCGAGAGGAGAAAGATTTAAAAAGGACATGAGGGGCAAACTTTTTTCACAAAGAATGGTTTGTGTGTGGAATGAAGTGATAAATGCTTTTACAATTACAATGTTTAAAAGATATTTGGACAAGTATATGAATAGGAGAGGTTTGGAGGGATATGGGCCAAGCTCAGGCATGTGGGATTAGTTTAGTTTGGGAGCATGGTCAACATTTACTGGTTGGACCAAATGGTCTGCTTCCATGCTGTATGACTCTAAAGAGAATGGTAAAAAGAGATGGTGGCCAACAAGCAAGGGAAATCTCAAAGTCTTCTCTGGGCATATAAATAGTAAAAGAGTTGTAAAAGGAAGGATGCCTTTTTGGGAACCAAAAAAGGAGAGTTACACATGGAAGAGGCTTGACTGAGGTGTTAAATAACTACTTTGCATCTGTCTTCATCTGACTTTACTGTTCAGGCAATGGTGAGAAGGAAGCTGTGCCACAAGAAGGGTTGAAAATTGAGTAACAAGCGTTGGGATAAAGTATCAATACTTGCTGTTAAAATGTCAGGACCAGATGAGATGAATCCAAGGGTATGAAAAAAAAAGTGACAGTGGAGATTGCAAGGCACTAGACAAAGTCTTCCAGTCTTCCCCAAACCTAGGACTGGAGAATTGCAGGCATCAGCTCTTGTTCAAAAATAAGCCCAGCAATTATAGTCTTGTCAGTTTCACATCAGTGATGGAGACATTTCATCAAACAATTATTTAGGACAGAATTAGTAGTCACAAGGAAAAGGTGGGTTCTTTACTAAGAGCCAGTATGGAATTCTAATGCTTGATTAACTTGCTGGAATTTTTGAAGAGGAAATAGAAAGGGCCAATGAGGGTAATGGTGTTGATGTAGTGTACATGGATTTTCAAAAGGCATCAAACAGACATTTAAGAAATTATAACTCATTGAATAAAAGAATAGTAGCAATGTGGTACTAAATTGGCCGAGTAATAGGTAACAGAGCAATGGACAATGGATATTTTTCAGGCTAAAGGGAGGTTTGTGGTCAAGTTTCCAGTTGTTCAGTATTAGGATCCTTGCTTTTCCTGATATAGCGGACAGGGGAAAATTTCAAAGTGTGCAGATGATACGAAACCTGGAAGCAACGTAGGCTGTGAAAACTGTGTTGAACTCAAAGGACATTGACAAATTGGTAGAGTGGATGGACAAGTTCAATGTTAAGTTCTGAGAAATGATACATTTTGATACGCAGAAAATGGACAGATAATATAAATTGGTGACACTGAAGGGTGTGCAAGAATAGAAGGACCTGGCTGTATGCGTGCATAGATCACTGAAAATAGCAGGACAGGTGAAGAAAGCTGTAAATAAAGCATACTATCCTTTAGTTATAGAGGCTTAGTGCACAACAGCAAGAAGGTTTTGCTGAATTTATACAAAACATTTCTTAGACCACAGCTAGAGTTTTGTGCACACTTCTGGGTCCCACACCATAGGAAGGATGCAAACACTTTGGAGAGAGTACAAAAGAAGAGATGTACAAAAATGGTTCCAAAGATGACAATCATCAGGAACATGGACATACAGGAGAGGGTCAGACTGCTCTCACTGGAGACAAGGTGGCTAAGAGGAAATCTAACAGGTGCTATCAAAATCATAAGAGGTCTGGATAGAAGATAGGAAGAAACAGTTCCCATCCGTACAAGAATCAACAGCAAGAGAAGACAGATTTTAAAAAATTTGAAAACACAGAAAATGTGATGAGAGAACTTATTTTTTCGCACAATGAGTGGTTCGTGTCAGGAATAAACTGCATACAAGTGTGGTGGAGGCAGAGTCAATTGAGGTATTCAAGAGGGCATTAGATAAGGACATGGAGAAAAGAGGAAAAAAGACACCGAGCCATAATGGCCTTTGGAGAGCCATTACCAACATGTGTCAAATGGCCTCCTTCTGTGCCATAACAATTCTGTGATTCAGGAAATAGCCAGCCAAGTGTCATTGGGCCACCCAAAACTATTTATTGATCCCTGGGAAAGTGCTTGTTTTTGGATATAAAGATTGAAGTTGGCAAAGAAGTTGTTCACATTTCTATCATTTGCTGATACTCACATGACCACCATTTAAGGTGAGGTATTGGATGGCTGCAAGCCACATCAGAACAATGTGGCAATGACAGAAATGGGGAGAAACCTAAAAAGGGGTTTGTTGAGTGGGGTAAGAAATCAGCATTATTGCTCCCAGAAGTTCCTCCATAATAAAATTCATATCACCATATTAATGTGAATTTATGTTTTCTAAACAAAATAATATTTTTGATCAAACTGAATTAGGTAATTCAGGCATAATGATGGTGTTCTGTTTGTTTAAACACCTCTACATGAAACAGTGTACTGAACCCACGTCAAATACTCAGGTAACTGTTTTCACAGTCTTTCATGGGATGTTGGCACACTGGCAAGACCAGCATTTGTTGCCCATCCCTAATTGCCCATGAGTGGTTTGCTTGTTCATTTCAGAGAGCAGTTAAGAGTTAACCACATTTCTATGGGTCTGAAGTCACATCTAGGCTAGGCCAGGCCAAGCAAAGGCAGCAGGTTTCCTTTTCTAAAGGAAATTAGTGAAACAGATGCATTTTTACAAAGAAAGACGTTTTCAGGACTTGCATGTTTTTTCATTCCAAATTTACTAATGAATTGAATTTAAATTCTACCAGACGCCATGATGGGATTGGAAGCAGTGCCCACAGACCATTAGTATCATTGTCACAATGTCACCATCGACCCCTTAATTGAGAGAATCATTTTTTCTAAACCAAGCAGCTACCTGACAATATCAAATGAGGCCTAATCTATCAGAGTCGTAAAACCATCACATTCAAAATCAATTTTAAATTTCACCTCTCACTCACCTGTTTACTATCGTGTTCGTTTAATTTCTGGTTGCTCTCTAGTGTTTGGGTCTTATGTTGCTTTGCCTGCATGTAATCAAACATTTGTAAGCACTTCAGTTGCAATTCAAATACCTCAGCCACTAGAACCACAATAACATCTTCTTTCATCAGTTTTCAATTCTATCTCCACAGCCCAGATGGCAAAGGGTGAACGTATTGACCAACAAATATATACACTCATACTATCTCTGCAAGGGCCATAAACATATTCTCAGACAAACAGCTAGAAGATATCCATGTAGTCATCTCACATCATAGTAAACAGCAAGTGTTACAAAATACTGCACTGATCTTACCATGCCCACTTGCACACATGTAACTGAATGCATGGGAAGGCCAAAGAGAAATTGAAAGGAAAAAGACATGGTCCATAATTTCTGCTAGTGGTAAAAGCATATTTTGGCTCAAACTGCCAGGATAATTAAGTTCATCACGGATACCTAAATTGCTCTTGACTTTCAACCTTATCAATTGAACAGTCTGATGCAAGCTCTTGCTTTTTGCTGCAAGTTGCAATATACAGTCTTGTGCTGCCTGATCTGTCACTGTCCGCACAATTCCACCACACCCAAACAAAGGTTACAGCAAATCAATTTCTTAAACATATTCTTCCTTCCTTAGGACACTGACAGAAGATTAACAACACTGGAACGTCCCAAGAGACAGCCTGCAGTTTGCCATGGTGACACACTTTGCATTAAAATTATAATAGCATGGAAATACATACAAGTTGAAGACAGAAACAGGTCATTCAGTGTAGCCAGCCCGTGCTCATGTGATCACATTCACTAACCCTGCTTCCCACATGCCTCTGGCTTTTTTTTTCATGAAGCTAATCTGGAACGTTGACAGTTTTTGCCTCAAATCTATAATCCTGGAAGTGAATTTGAGTCACACGAGACATGGAGAGCACGTGCAAGAGACAGAGGTGGAAGCAGCCTGTTTTTTAAACTACCCAGTGCCTTTCCTTCAGTATTTGAAACAAGCAATATTATCTTATAATTTCAGTTGTTCTGAAATGTGGAAGATGCTGGTTCAACGTACAGTATTAACTAGCTGTGCATTTTTGAAGGGCTAGTTGGACAGCACTGGAGCACACCCCAAGTACAAGTCAACTCAATGCTCAGATGAGAAACATGCAAGCAGTATGGGAAGACAGTTGCAACCAGTTTTAAAAAATAACTGAGGAGCAAGAATGAAAGTGCCTTTGTCGTCTTACTGCCTTTGCAAAACGTTCCAAAATAGAATAAACTTCAAAGTATTTTTCTTAATCTCCATTAAATGGTGCTCTGAAAATCACTCTGGTGTCAGACTAATTCACCTTCGCTGACTTAGGAAAACAGTCCATTGTCTTGGAATACTTGATTAGCAGACACCCGAGTTCAGGTATCATAGACATCAGTTACTGAAAGTTGACACCTAAAACAAAATGGATCCTGACTGTTGCATACAAAAGGTTACACGTACTGGAATTCACAGCATAAAGCACAGAAGCACAACAGATTTTGGTATGCAAGACTGCTAAAACGCAAATGGAAAATATATATTTAGAAATGAACTAGCCTTTCACCCCAATTATAACACAATAATTTTGGATGAGAGTTACCTGATCTTCTCGCTCAAATCCTGGTGCTTTTGGATATGTAGATGTCGGTGATGAAACACTGGACGTCGCAGGATCTGAACATAAACTATCATTAGTGAAATATTTGGGCCTACTTACTGGTCCAATAGGAGACAATGAACTGTTACTACCTGAACTTGAAGTAACTGTTGGGCTGCTAGATGATGAAACCTGACGGGGAAAAAATATTTAGAGAATTAATTCTTACTCTCAAAGAAAAACTACAAGACAACAAAATGACAGTCAGTTAATATATAATGGCTTCAGAAATGGGCAAATATTAAATATAAATTTAAATACAAGACTCATTAAGTAAATCGCGACATTTTGATAGGATAATGAAGGTGGCGTTTGGTATGCTTTCTTTTATTGGTCAGTGCATCAAGAATAGGAGTTGGGAGATCATGTTGCAGCTCTACAGGACAGTGATTAGGCCACTTTTGGAATACCGTGTGTAATTCTGGTCTCCCTGTTATCGGAAGGATTTTGTGAAACTTGAAAGGATTCGGAAAAGATTGACAAGGATGTTGCCAGGGTTGGAGGATTGAGCTGTAGGGAGAAGCCGAATAGGCTGGGGCTATTTTTCCCTGGAGCATCAGAGGCTGAGGGGTGACTTTATAGAAGTTTATAAAATCATGAGGGGCATGGATGCAGTGAATAGTCAAGGTCTTTTCCCCGGGATAGGGGAGTCCAAAACTAGAGGGCATAGGTTTAAAGCAAGTGGGGAAAAGACTTAAGCTGCCAGAGGAAGAGGAGGAGGCTGGTTCAATTACATCATTTAAAAGGTAACTGGATGGGTATATGAATAGAAAGGGTTTGGAGGGATATGGGCTAAATGCTAGCAAATGGGGGTTGATTAACTTGGGATATCTAGTTGGCATAAACGAGTCGGACCGAAGGGTCTGTTTCTCTGCTATACGTTTCTAGGATTCTATAACACCTCAATCTTTCTCATGCTGCGACGTGGTTATGTGGGGTATATAAGGTTCATTGACCTGGGCTTAATGCACAAAAGCTTGTTCATTCATGGTTGCCAATATCCTAACTAATACCAAGTCCAGTTTACTCATCAGTTGACCTACATTCTGCTGCAAGGACATCAATATTGATAGGTGCAAAAGGAGGAATAGGGCAAATCAGGGACTAAAAAAAGGTATTTATGGTTGGAGGCAAGAAGCATGGCTGAAGTGGTAAAATGAATACGTTTCATCTGTCTATATGTATAAGGCAGACGATGCTCAAGCCATGGGCAATCACTAGAAAGGTTTAAAATTGATACGGTAATGGTACCAAGCTGTCAGCACTAAATGTTGATAGGTGCTGAATCCAGATGAGATACATCCAGAAACAGTGAAGAAAATGAGTGTGGAACCTGGTAATTATCTTTCAAATGCCTCGGGATTGGAGGTGGAGCTGGAGGACAGGAAAATTGCAAACATTACGCACTTGCTCAAAAAAGGTTGTAAAGATTGAGTCAACAATTACAGACCAGTCAGTTCAACTTCAGTAGTGGGGAAAACTTCTAAATATAATTATTCAGAACAGAATGAATAGTCAAATGGGAAAAAAATGGGCTAATTTAGGAGATTGTATGGATTTGTCATGGGGAAATCATGTCTAATGAACTTCAGGAAATTTTTTTGAAGAGTTAAGAGAGAAGGCTGATTAGCAGAAGGCCATTGCTGAGGTATACTTGGATTTCAAAAAGGCATTTGATACAGAGTCACACAACAAGCTTGTGAGGCAAGTGACAGGTCATGGAACAAAAGGGACAGCAGCAAATGGACACAAACTCTGTGAAAACAGACAGCAAAGATTGTGTAATAACAAGGTGTAGAGCTGGATGAACACAACAGGCCAAGCAGCATCAGAGGAGCAGGAAAGCAGGGTTTAGGGGCCTAGACCCTGCTTTCCTGCTCCTCTGATGCTGCTTGGCCTGTTGTATTCATCCAGCTCTACACCTTGTTATCTCAGATTCTCCAGCATTTGCAGTTCTTACTATCTCTGAAGCAAAGATTGTGTACTGCTTGACCTGGACAAAGTTTTGAAGTGGAGATCTCCACTGTTTGTTATAGGGATCCCTGCTTTTCTTAATATACAAAAATGATATTAACCTGTAGGGGACAAACTCTGTTTGCGGTTGGAAAAAAAATTAGAAAAATTGTAAACTGAGGAGGACAGTGAAGATGAAGTTCAATGCAGAGAACTGCAAGGTAGTGCAAAGAACATGAAGCAACAGTATAAAAGGTGCGCAGCAGCAGAGCGACCTGGTTGTGAACGTACATGCCTCTTTAAAACTGGCAGGATAGATAGTCAGAACTGCTAACAAAGCATATGGTATTCTTGGCTTCATTAATATGGGCTTAAAATACAAAATGAGGGAGGTTATGCTGAGCCTATATCAGACACTGGTTAGATCTCAGCTGGAATAATGTGTATACTTCACAGCACCACAATACAGGAAAAGTGTGAATGCACTGGAATGAGTGTACTAGAGGTTATCAAGAATATTTCCAGAGATGAGACATTTCAGTTATGAGGATAGATTGAAGAACATGGGATTAGTTTCCTTGGAGAAGTGAAGGCTAAGGGGAGATCTGATACAAGTTTTCAAGATCATAAAGGGTCTGGACAGAGTAGCTGGCAGAAAGCAGTTCCTGCTTGTAAAAGGATCAAGAACCAGAGGATGCAATTTTGCAGTTTTTTGCCAAAGATGTAAACATGAGGTGAGAAAAGTACTTGCACACAGGCAGTTTGGAATGAACAACTGGGAGGCAGGTTAAATTGAGGCATTCAAAAGGACATTAACTAATCAATGGGGGTCAGTTAGCTCAGTTGGCTGGATGGCTGGTTTGCAATACCACACGATGCCAACACCATGGGTTCAATTTCCACACCAGCTGAAGTTATTATGAGGGACTCTCCTTCTCAACTTCTCCCTTCACTGAGGCGTAGTGATGGTCAGGTTAAACCTTAGCACTCGTGTCTCTCTAATGACAGAGCAGCTCTCTCGTGTGGTAGGACAATGGCAATGTTACCTTCCCTTTACTGGATGATTATTTGAATAGAAACAACAGATAGTCTTTTGAGGAAAAGGCAGGCATTTGGTTCTGTGTAAAACGCTCAAAGAGCTAACAGTACACATCGGTCAAATGGTTCATTCTGCACCGTAACAATTCTGTGATTTTCCATTGCAAGGCAAAAGTATCATTGGTGCAAATAAAGGGAGACTGCTTCTTTAAAATTAAGTTTGCAAAAAAATGTGCAATTTTGTTTCAAAGGAACTAATATGAAGAAACTAACTAAACATTCATGCCCAGGTCAAGAAATAAGTGGCAGCATGCTCGTGACCCTCAGCCCATCCATTAATTACAAAGGTGCTTTAAGCGTGATTAGATGCATAACGGCAATGATCACATTTCAGTTATTTTGAGGTTGTACTTCAAGTTTTCATAACATTAAAACACTGAGAACAAAACAGGATAAAATGTTATATGAATGAAGAGCTTCAAGTTCTGTCTAAAATAGTCATGATTCATGTTGTACATAGTTGAGGAGTTTGATGGCACTGAGATCATAACACATAATAGAGTGAAGAGGTTTACTTACATTTCCTATTTGTCCATTATTGCTGCCTGAGTTAATACTCGAGCCCCAGTCACTTGCAGATCCAATACTTTCTGTAGAATAAAGCCTAGCACTTTGCTTGGACTGAGCACCTGCTGCAGCTCCTGCCTGCATCATGGAGGCTACCTGATTCATAATTTGGACTTCCTCAGTAGAAGGGATTCCTACAAAATAGAAAACTTGAACTCACAATAGAAAATTCATGCTATACTTAGGAGCTCTAGTTAATTAGAAAACGAATAATAACCAGTTAGTTAAGAGTTATTAATTTGGATTAAGTGGCACAAATATAAAGTTGGGTGTCAAAATGGCAGGCTGCACATGTGCAAACGAGCCTTATGATGCAGGTAACTGGCTGTAGCCATCCCTACATCAGAATGACTTTGGATGCATGGTCACGTTATTACATTTCATGAGCAATAACGTGACACCAGCAGCGTGTGCGCATTTATGCGGCTGAAAGTTTTCCGGACTCACCCTGCTTCACCGAATACCTGAGCGCTGAATCAGCAGAAGACTATCCTTCCAGTGGGAAGGCAGCAGGGATCTATTGCTTGCCAGTGATGTAGCATAGCCAAGTGAAGTTTCTGCGCCTGCATGCTCTTTGCACTAATTAGAAGTAGTGCGTCTACAAAACACAGCGGTAGTAATTTCAAGGATCTAGAAACAACCTAAAACTCATAAATGATGGGTAATTGAAGGACTCCACTTTATAAACCTCAACTATATGTTCATCACTACAAATCAGTTGCAGAAAATTGTTGAGTGCTTTGCCATAGGGACAAGTTGAGGCAATGGCAACTGTACTTTAAAGGACATTGAACAAATATTCTTATATAAAGCTTAAATTTCTCTATGACTTTTTACATAACAAAATGCCTCAACCCACTTCATAGGCACATTGTAAAACAAATTGACACTGGGCCATTCAACGAGACCAAAACTAATTCAGATAAACAAACGCTTCATCCATGAATTTAAGGAATGCAACGAGCAAAGCTGAGAGTCAGTGACATGTAGGGAAGATATTCCAAAGTTTAAGAGCTAGGGAATTGAAGGTCTAACACCACAAGAGGAATCATCAAAATCAAGAATCCTCAATAAGCTAGAATTAGAGTGCAGATGTCTTGGAGGGGTTTATACCTGGAGGCGATTGCTGAGATGCAAAGGCCATGGATGGATCTGAAAACAAGCGCAGGATTTTGAAAATCAGGATATTGAAATCAACATCAGTCAGCAGCTACAAAAGGGGACTTAGTGCAAGTCAAGACACAGGCTAATTTTTGGACAATCTTACATTTACCAAAGTTTGAATGTGGGAAGCTGGCTAGAAATGTGTTGGAGCTGTTAAACTTAGAGGTCACAAAGGCATGGATGCAAGTTTCAACAGTAGATGTGCTCAGGCAGAAGCAAAATCAGGCAATGCTAGGTGGTGGAAATAGGCAGCCTGAATGAGGACAAGAATGTGTGGTTGGAAATGCATCCAGAGGTCATATTTGACACCAAGGTTGTGAACAGACAAGTGCAGTCTTAGACAGTTGCTAGGGAGTGAAATGGAGTAAGTGGTAAGAGAACAGTTTGTATTAGGGACTGAAGACAATGACTTCAGTCTTCCCAATGCTTAAAAAAAAGGAAATATCTGCTGATCCAATACTAGATTTCACCAAGCAGTTAATTTAGCAAAAGTGAAGAGACAGAGAATGGGTGGAGAGGTAGAGCCACAGTAAAGCTAGGTATCAACCTATTGAATTCCTCCTGAAAATCAAAGAACACTTTTATGGGGACTCTTGTGGCATAGTGGTAGTGTCCTAATTGTTGAGCAGAGACACCTGCGTTCAAGTCCCACCTGTTCTAGAAGTGCCATAATATGTCTGAACAAATTGAAATATATCTTGGTCCTTTCATTTATCTTCAGAAAGCTCAAATTTGTGAAGTACAGCTTTTAGCTAATCATGCAAGATGCCTTGTTTTAACCCTGCAATTCTAAATGCGGTAGAATTTAATTTCAAATTATTACTTAAAGAACTGATGCTGGACATGTGAAATTCAAAATGCACCTACAATCATCTTACTTATTCTTCTTCGAAAGAAAAGTGTCATGTTGGTTCCCTTCAACCACCAGTCCTTGACAAATTTGTCTAAGGAAAATTAATAGATGGTCATCAGTACTTCAGCAATACCTTGTTTAAAAAATATACTTTGAACGTGGGACGGTTCAGTTTGCAAGATCTTAAATTAAGCACCTCAAATGAGTATGGCTTTTAAACCCATGAAATATTGCATTTTATGACTTTCTTCTCTTGAAGATCAGACAATACTAAGTGGTGGAAACAGGCAGTTTGAATAATGAGGAGGATATGTGGTTGGAAATGTATCCTGAGGTCATATGTGACACCAAGGTTGTGAACAGACAAGTTTCTTATGGAAAAGAATAAAGATGGAATGAAGTCCAAACAAATTTGAAAGGGAGGGAAAATAGTAGACAAACATCATTTGGCAGAAAACAATAAAAATGCCTCCTCTGCATTCTCTACATTCCTGATCAAAAATAGTTCTGAATCAACATGAACTCTGCAGCCACTAACAACTACAAACCCACGGCAGAACAAAAACCTCAAATTGGAACAATGTGCGAAACGATGAAGGGCAACATACGTTCAACGTGTGCAAATGCACAGAAAGGCCCTCGAGGGCAGTATCCTGTCTGCCGCATATCATTGCATTTTGTAGACTTGTAGATCTAGAAAGGAAGAAAAAGATTTATGACAAGAAAAATCCTGTATCTCATCTACATGCTTAATTTATCATTTAAACTGTGTTGAACAATTTCAACCCTCTGGTATGGCCTTGAATCTTCCAAACTGACCTCAAAATTTCTAACACTTCATAGAAACAGAAAATAGGAGTAGCTCTTCAAGCCTCCTCTGCCATTCAGTTCTTTGAGCTTACGCTACCATTCATTATGATAATAGCTGATCTTACAACTCATAGCCTGTTCACACTTTTCACCCTATTTCCTTTAACGTTTAACCTCAAGTGCTAAATTCAACTCCGTCTTGAAATCATAAAATGTTTTGGCCTTGGTTGCTTTGTGGTAGCAAATTCCTTAGCATCACTGCTCACTACATGAAGGAATTCCTCCTCATTTCAGTCCTAAATGGTTTACCCCATATTCCTAGACTCTGCCCCCAACCCCCCAATTCTGTTTCAAATCAAAAACGTTCAACCTTGCATTTAGATATGTTCATGACTTCACTCCCTCCTTGTTGCTTTAATGTTTTGCAACCCTAAAATACCCCCATCACTCTCCAGCCTCTGTGTATCACTATTACACTTCAATCAACTTTTTTACTTTTGTGCACGTGTGAAAATGAGCGATATACACAGGCAGAGATAGTAGGAACTGCCGATGCTGGAGAATCTGAGATAACAAGGTGTAGAGCTGGATGAACACAGCAGGCCAAGCAGCATCAAAGAAGCAGGAAAGCTGACGTTTCGGGTCTCTGGTCTCTTCCTGCTCCTCTGATGTACACAGGTAACTGTGTATAAATGTACCTAATCTGATATTTAGTATATTAGCTCCTCTTCCACATCATAGGCAGAATGAAGAGGGTTCAGTACATTTTTTGAAAACAAATTTCCAATTCAAGGAGGTCTCATAACATATACAGAGTCAGGAAATGCTTTGACTAATAACTGGTATTGGTAGCCAAGTCACAGGATACAAGTTTGACCAATGTGGAAACAGCAGAATGCGAAATGATCTTTCCCAACTATAACTAATTTCTATGTTCATTTTTTAAAAAAACGATAGGTTAAAAGTTGACCAAAAAATACCAAGAGTCCTTCATTACTCCAAAGGTTCTTGCTGTCCTTCAGTTTTATGTCTCAATTACATTTCTGGATGTGCACATAACAGTTATATTTCTGTCACGTCCATTTTAGCACCCAGAGTTAAACATCTTACACCCTTATAACGGTATAAATTCAAAGAAGCAGCAAAATCCATGAAGCATTACTGTACATGATCCAACTTTGGGCCAGAGTGCAGGATCAGAAGAATTGACAATACTACTGATTCTTATTCCTGAAACAATTTCTCTCACAACTTGAATCACAGGAGCAAGTTCACACCTACAATCCTCGCGTAGTGACTAAGCAATCTGTGTCCATTTTTAAGATGTCCAGAGCAGGGTGCACACATTTCGAAAGTATACAGTGTGCAGGAAATCTCCAAGTCTTGGCTTGCACTGTACAGAATTTATTTGGCAGACAAAATAAATTAAGGTGACAAGCATAAACACTAGCATTGGACCTTGCTCACATTAGTCCAAGAACTATTGGACTCAATAATCAGATGAAATGTAGTTAATTGGTCAACTCAAAGACAACTAGTATATTACTTTGCAATTCCTATTGGATCTGATGAAAAGAAAAGAGATTGCACATTTATTTTGCTCTTTTCAGATTTTCTGGAGATCCCAGTGCGGATAACAAATTACTTCTGAAATGCAGTCACCATTTTTTTTTATATGGGGGAAAAAAAGGGACAGCCAATTTGAAATCAGCAAGATTCCACAAACAACAGTGAAATGATGAACAATGATCTTTTGTTTTGATGACTGTGACAGAAGATGATGAGCCAAAGCAGAAAATCCATCTGTTCAGAGACTATGCAGTTGCATGTTTTGCATTGTCTTTTGTTTTTTTTTTTTTTTTGGGGGTGTGGGGTGGAGGTGAGGGAAGGAGGAATAACTTGTTCTATTCTAGAATGCCTGGCAGCAAAGGTTAGCACTGGGGCTAATTTACGCACAATTTTATAAGGTTTTATTGGCTGAAATATGCATTACAAAACATGCATCTCCTAAGCCAACTGCAGCTTCAGTCTGTTCCTGTTTATAATTTTTCTTATGGCAACAAATTAATTCCCAGTTAATGCTTACTACCTGTATGCAATTAACAGAACAAGTGTCTCATCTGAAAGAGGGCTTCTGTGGCAATGCAGGACTCCTATGAAGTTAAATGGGAAAGTAGTTCTACCTGCAGGCTGGTTAGTTCAGTTGGATAGCTGGCACTAGCATGTGTTTAAGAATAAAACCAACTGCGCAGGCTTGATTCCTGGCCTGGCTTAAGACATGAGACCAGACTCCTCACTAAGCCCAAGAGATGGAAGGCAATGGCAAACCATCACTGACAAAGAAAAAACTGCCAAGGAAACAGATCAGGATGAAGCATCAGCAGACTGTAAGCCAAAGATGAGTGAATAAATACAGAAGAATGGTATTACCATGACCAGAAAACTGTACCCAAGTTATCTCACGTCCATATCATAATTCATCACCTTAAATCAGAATGCTGTACGTCTAATCAAAATACACATTTCACAGACTTGCCTCTGGGTGAAACTGCTGCTCAGTGCGGGAGTGACAGTACTGGCAGTTATCTCCACTCTCACATTTTGTTGGCTCTCCCCATTCATCTCCATGTTTGACATTAGGACATGGAGTAGACCTACAAATGAAACCAAGGAAGAAATTATTCTGTAGTGTAGAGTAATTCAATCCATCCTGAAGAGGGATTGTAGACATTGCCATTTATGCACATGCACAACTTTCAGTGTATTAATATATTCCTCACTATTCAATGAGGCATTGTAAATAAATCCAATACCTTACGCAGAAATACATTTATCAAAGGAGGAACTCGTTAACACACCAATATCTATCACACTCTCTATTAGTTTAATGTCGCCACTCATTAGTGACTGTAGTGTGCTGGAAATTAACCCCACGATTCCTGAAGGTGTTATAAACGTGAAAGGATTTAATGAAACCATCTAAAGTCCTCATTTTACCTGACTGATGAGCCCAGGTTAAAACATTCATCAGGCTTCTGTACTCAAGAAAGAAAAGCTATTTATTGCAAACAGAACATCTTTAAATAATGGCAGAAAAGAAACTAATTACTAACTTATAACTTTCTAGAATGGTGAAGTGCACTATGAGACTGGTTTCCCATTCAGCAGAGCGTAAAAACCACTACTTTAACACATCAAATTGACAAAACTTTCTTCTTATGTTTATGCCCAGGAAATGATTTTGAAAGTTGCAGAGAATGCCTCTGAACAGTCAGTGAATATGATAATTTAATTAAAATGGAAACTTTCAGGATAGGCAGTAAAGACATTCCTGATCAACAGTCTTATTCTTATCAAGCTCCCTGCCTGGTTGCACAGAACATACAGTTGTGCTTTACTTTCATATAAAGTAAAACTTCAAAATCTAAAAACGCACTAGGTATTACAAATGGACATACTGACATATCTTGGCAGGTAGTGGTAAGGGGTTAAAAACCAAAAGAACTGCAGATGCTGTAAATCAGGAACAAAAACAAAGTTGCGAGAAAAGTTCAGCAGGTCTGGCAGCATTGGTGAGGAAAACAAAATCAGAGTTAACGTTTCAGGTCCGGGTTCTGAGGAAGGGTCACCGGACCCAAAACTTTAACTGATTTTTTTCTTCACAGATGCTGCCAGTGGTAAGGGGTTAACGGTCAGGCCCAAGTTAACGATACAAGCAAACAAACATTCTGCCTGCAAGAATAAAATGATTCTTTACCTGTATTTAAATTTTCTAGGGTTCCTTCTTCTGTCCCGGCTGTTATGATAATGAGGGCAGGCATAGCCTTGCCGACAGAGTCTAGGTGGCTTATTACACTGTTCGGTCTTATAATTTGCGAGTACAAAGTTTGTTTCTGTAAGATAAATACATTTTGTCGAGACTTAAAAGTCCAAAAAATATCTGCAGAGTTTTCTGCACTCTTGAAAATTGAGTTTTTTGGAAATATAAACTTAAAGCTACTGCATTCACTCCATACATATGCATGAACCCACTCAGTATCTCATATTTAAATATTAATGGCCCTGCATTAAAGCCTTCAGTCTCCACTTAAGTACACTCCAACTAGAGCCAAACATCAATATAAAAGTAGCATTGTGATTCTTTTCATCAGCTATTTTGACAGCTACACCTTCTGCCAAGGAAGCAGAAAACACAAAAATGTAATTCCGTAAGTGTTTACTTTAACAGAAAATGCAAGCGTCAGAAACAGTCCTGACCAATTTATAAGTTTTAAATAGCAAGAATAAAACTATGTGGTACACAGATCTCATTATATTGGGACAAGATGCCTGCGAATTTTTTAAATGGTAACTTTTTGTATCTTAAAGCTTAGTATTTTTATGACCTTCGTATATGCTTTAGAACATAGAACATAGAACATTACAGCGCAGTACAGGCCCTTCGGCCCTCGATGTTGCGCCGACCTGTGAAACCAATCTGAAGCCCATCTAACCTAAACTATTCCATTATCATCCATATGTTTATCCAATGACCATTTAAATGCCCTTAAAGTGGGCGAGTCTACTATTTTTGCAGGCAGGGCATTCCACGCCCTTACTACTCTCTGAGAAGGAAGTGCATCCGGACATTTTATTAACATCTCCACCAACAACTAGAATAGTAGAAAAATTATCAGGGGCTTACAATACATCTTCAATCTGTACAAATTGCAACACAATGAACAAATCCTTAAAGTGAAAATAACAATCCGAAATTACATATTTTATGAATTACAAAAGATAAGCAAACAAATATATTAAACGAGTAAGGTCCTTAATAGCTCCGTTAAATTAAAAATGATGAAAAGGAAAGCACAAGAGTTACTCTCCAAACCTGAATTTTTGAATTTTCATTGTGTTCAAGTTCCCTCCAGAGCCTCACCCCTCCATACCTCTAACCTCCACCAGCCCAATAAGTACGAAAAAACTTCCTCGAATTCTGGCATTTTCTATCAATCCTTAATTTTAAATTGGTCCACTATTGGTGATTGTACTTTCAATTGTCTTGGCCCTGAGTCTCATTTTTTAATTAAGTAGGTCTCGGTTTTCCTCTCTTCCTTTTATGACACTGCTTGAAACCTCCCACTTTAACTTTTATGGCTAGGTTTGGGTTTATTTCATCGTTTTCCTGGGAAGTGGCTTGGAACATATTACTACTGTACATGAAGTTACTGTAAAATCACAACCTATTGTCAAGATGTAAATGGTGAGAAAGCTAGACAGCAAGCCACAGATTTTAAAAAAAACATCACATTCAAGGTTGCATGGGCAAGGACAAATTGATCCATTCCTCAGCAAAAAGAGCTTTCCCTCTGTTTATTCATTATGTAACACACAAGTACCCAGGCAACAGTACTTCACTTTACACAGTTTGTTATATTAGGGTTCACATTCTTGTTGTGAAATTTTAAACACACTTCTTTATGCATTTATGATTTTGACACCAGGGCAGCGCAGAACACAATGTAAATCCAGGCAGCTAGAGTCCCAGAATCTCATACTGGCAACAAGAAAGTGTGCCTAAAATTCTGCTTTATTGAGAAATTAAGTGGATCTTGATGAATGAATACTATAACATAAATCAGTGCCCTACAGTGAGCTCTAACATTGATTTGTTTTCAAATTAAAGAGCAGTCCAGTTTAAGATTGCGTGGAGATACTGGTTGAACAATTTCAACTGGAAATGTGTACTTTTATACGCTATATAGCAAAGATTATACATTACTTTCCATTCGGTACATTGCAAGTAGAAAATGCTATTTACGCTACGCCATCACATAACAACCACCCTGTTTTAGGCCTACAACGTTCATAATTCCATCTCCAAGAGGGCAGCAACCTGATCCACATTCCTTCACCAATTCTAAAAACAAAGAATCTGTCCACAAACATTTATCAAAGAAAAATCTCATGAAAAGCTCACAACTCCACTGGATGAGAAGGAGGGGGGGGGGGAGCGAGAGAGAGGGAGAGAGCGAGAAAGACAGAAGAGAGCGCGAGACTGCAGATGGATGGGTGAGGGCAGAGATAGAGAGAGAGAGAGAGAGATCGGGGGGAGCCAGAGAGTGTATGGGGGTCAGAATAGGAGGGGGGGGGGGCAGGTGAAATTGCAAGAGAGTGCAAGTGTAAAAGACGGAGCCTGAGGACAGAAGTAGCAGCAACGCTCAGGTTCTCTCCTTGGTGCCGAGATCAGCACATTCACTGTGGGCTTGAGCCAAACATGGTATTGTCCTGCTGGAAAAGCTCAGCGGGTCTGGCAACATCTGTGGAGAGAAATCAAAATTAACATTTCTGGTCCAGTAACCCTTCCTCAGACCCTTTTACCAGACCTGCCGAGCTTTTCCAGCAATTTGAGTTTTGTTTCCAATTTCCTGCATTCACAGTTCTTTCAGTTTCTATGGGATCTTCCCAGGCTGCAGGGTTTATATTCATCTATTCCTCTATTCATTAATGTATGTTAATAATGGAGGCATCTCTACTGGACTCACCTATCCAGCAGATGGCAGTGTTTACTGGTTGCACTGTTTACTGACAGACGGCACTAATTAAAAACAAAAATACAGCCACAAAAGTACTACGACTCTTAATCAATCTCAGCAAGCTTTGAAAGGAGTGAGACCACAATATATCATCCATAAATGATTTTCAATTATGACGTGAACTCCCAAATTAACTCATACCAAAGCAAAGTACTGCAGATGCTGCAAACCTGAAACAAAATCAGACAATGCTACAAACACTCAGCATTTGACGGCATCTGGAGGAAAAAAAACACAAATTACATAATCTGTTTATTTTAAATATATTTTCTTTGCCTCACCAACTATTCCTCCTCCACCTCCTCAAAGTGACCACATTTTACTGCATTATTCCACTAGCTCCCTTGGCTATCTCCCATACGTGGACACTGTTCACTTGTACGCTTCAATAGTTGACTGTAGCACTCTTCAACAGCAGGAATATCACAGCACAGCCTCATTCTTTCATAATTCAATATCTAAACATGCTTGTTCTTCCACTAAAAGGTAACGTGGAGGTAGAACTGGCCTGAGCTCCACAACTCACATTGTCCCAGCAGCGATGAAGACAACCCTGCAAACAACTGAAATCAAAAAATGGCTCGTGTATTAGAAGCATCTTTACCTCTAGACCAGAATGTCCTACCTGCTCCAGAGATTTATTAACGGTCTCAACTACATTTTGTTCAGCTTTGAGACATTAGAATAGCTCCAACCATTCAACACATCCTGTGTGGATACCTACCTTATAGGTTCTAAGAAGATCAAAAAAGTGACAATCCCCAATTTTGTATTAATTAATGCCAGAGTTATCAGTCAATGGGGAATTAATTCTTGTCATCATTTTAAGATCAACAATTATTCTTCATTAAAGTTAATTGTCTTCCAGTACAGCTCCAAGTGAACTTTTTTTAAAAAAATCTGTTACAATCAATCAGTGATTTGTCTAACAATTGAAGCATGTTGCAAGGCATTTTGATATTTGTCCATTTCAGTTATGCTCCAAGACATTTTTAATATATCTTTTATTCTTACTTGTTCAATAGATGCTATCATTAGTGGTGTGGACCAGCACACTGATTTCATGACCAGGTGGGAACATGGAAATTGGAGGACATCAGGACAAAGGGAGAAGAATTTTGACTGAAAAACGGGACTCGAGTTTTTTTTGAAAAATAATGATATTTTGACCTGAATAGGGAAACACATACACATACAGCACTGAGGTAGTGGCTCACCACATGACTTTCTTCATCCATATTCGTGAATCAGTTGTGTATTTGTGGCAATCTGACAGCTTCACAGTCAGTCAGTCTTAGTGATTTTTGTATACATAAATGTAATTCAAACTCTCAAACCGTAATAGGATTTTAACTCAAACTCTGGGTTACTTATGCATAAGCAAATTGTACACTTGGGTTTAAAAGAGGTTTTAATGTGATTGAAAGCTACACAAATATAAGATATATGGTGCTATTGTACAAAGAGCTGAGAAGATGATTACATGATGCTATTGAATTAACACGGAAAACAAAATTGTACCTACAGATTAAAACAAGCTTGAAATGACATTTCATAAATGCTGCCAAGTTAAGTGGGTCATCACATTTCTTACCCTGCCATCTTGCATCTTCAGACAGCGTTTTCTCTATCATGGCTTGACTAGCCAGCACACCTGGTTGTAGATCAGGAAGGCCCTCTCCTGCCCCAAGTTGACCATTTTGCAATGCTTCCTGTGCCTGGAGTTCCCTATAAAAAAACAGTACTTTAAATTATTGGGTATTGGATTTTAAGATGGTATGCTCAAATGGATACAGGACTGAACTCATCTGGGACATACCTGGTCTATGTGGAAATTCTTAAAGAGCAGGCAGGGTGGGGGTGGGATGGGATGGAAGTACTAACATTATGAACTTGGATGAAGACAAATTACAGAACAAACATCCAGACTGGATGCCTCTGGGTTTTTTTTTCTGGGAGGTGCGCACGTGCATCTGCGTGAGTTTGTGTGCGCGTGCGTCTGTGAGTGAGTTGGTGTGTATTTGCGCGCATGGTGGGGGTTGAATGCTACAAGAGCAACAGGAATATCGGTTCTTCCGTATGGATTTACAAGTACCAAGGGGGAAATTAAAGAAAGAATCAGGAAAAAAGTCAATTATAGATCCTTCGATTGGACAATTAAACCAACATCATTGTAGGGGATTCTCAGATGTACAAAAATTAGCATGACTTTGAGATGTGTCTGATAAACAAGCTTGAATATACAAATATTTCCATCTAATGATCATTACTGCACAACTTGTAGCCGGTCACTGCAATCACAAACACATTAATAACGACAACAACACATATTCAGGTACACAATATAAAAAAAACTGCATATGAAAACTACAATCCATATTTTAGCAATAATTTTTAACACTATAAAGCTGCAATCAACCAACATATTTTGCAGTGAGAGAGCTGGTCGTCCTTGGGGCATAGTTTTAAAATTAAGAGTTGCTGTTTTAGGGCCTTAGAGGATTGAAAGACTGAAACTCAGCTCCACAAGGGTCGGAGGTGCAGTCATTAAACATTTTTCAGACACAGGTGGATATACTGTCGTTAGACAAGGGAATCAAAGATTATTGGGGGGTTTGATAGGAATGCAGAATTTAAAATACAAGATCAGTCATGATCTTATTGAATAGCAGAGGAGGTTCAAGGAGCAAAAGGTCATACAGCACGGCAACAGACCCTTCACTCCAACTCGTCTGCACTGACCACACATCCCAACCTGACCTTGTCCCATTTGCCAGCATGTGGCCCGTATCCCTCTAAACCCTTCCTATTCATATACCCATCCAGATGCCTTTTAAATGTTGTAATTGTACCTGCCTCCAGCACTTTCTCTTGCACCTCGTTCCATACATATGCTACCATCTGTGTGAAAAATTACCCCTCAGGTCCTTTTTAAATCTTTCCCTTCTCACCTTAAACCTATGCCCTCTAGTTTTGGACACCCACCCTAGGAAAAAGACCTTGACTGTTCACCCTATCTATGGCCTTCATGTTTTTATAAATGTCCTATAGGAAGGATCTTGTGAAACTAGAAAGGGCTCATAAAAGATTTATGAAGATGCTGCCAGCGTTGGGGAATCTGAGCTATAGGGAGAGGCTTCATACACTGGGGCTATTTTCACTGGAGCATTGGAGGCTAAGGGGTGAACTTATAGAGGTGCCAAAAATCTTCTTCATCACCCTGTCTACCTGTGACTCCACTTTCAAGGAGGCACCTGCAGCCCTCAGTCTCTTTGTTTGGCAACATTCCCTAGGGCCCTACCATTAATTGCATAAGTAATGCTCTGATTTGCCCTACCAAAATGCAACACCTCACGTTTATCTAAATTAAGCTCCACCTGCCACTCCCTGGTTCTTGATCCATCTGATCAAGGTCCCGTTGTACTCTGAGGTAACCTTCTTTACTGTCCACTACACCACACATTTTTGTGTCATCTGCAAACTTACTAACCATACCTCCTATATTCCAATCCAAATCATTTATATAAAATGACAAAAAGCAGTGGATCCAGCACCGATTCTTGTGGCATGTCACTGGTCACACACCACAAGTCCGAAAAACAACCCTCTACCATCACCCTCTGTCGACTACTTTCAAGCCAATTCTGTATCCAATCAGCTCGCTCCCCCTGGATTTCATGTGGCCTAACCTTATTATTCAGTCTACCATGTGGCACCTTGTCAAATGCTTTACTGAAATGGTTTACTCCTGTTCCTGTTTCATATGTTAATGTGGGATGCAGCCCACCGCTGAATTCATAGGCATTAGAATGCAAAGAATTCGCTGGAGAAAAACAAGAAATCTGCAATGGCATTCATGAGAGTGGTGTAGTTTTAATGTCACTGGATGAATAACCCAGAGGCCCATGCAAATGCTCCAAGGACATGTACTCAAATCCCACTGTAACAGCTGTTATAACATAATTTTAAAAATCTAAAACTTAAAGCTAGTCTCAACAATGGTGATCATGACAACTATAATTAGTTGTAATAAAAAAACCCGATTCTTTAATTTCCTTTCGGCTAAGTACCCTGCCAGCCTTATCTGGCTTAGCCTACATGCAATTCGGATCCAGAGCTGATTTTTGAAACTGTTCTCTGAAATGACCTGACATGCCACTCAGTTCAAGGTAATTAGGGATGAATAACAAATGTTGGCCTTGCCAATGACACTAACATTCCATTACAGAACAGGTGGTTTAAAGAAAAGAGCTGAGAGCACGATACGGCTAAAATCTGAATGAATTTTATTTGCAAAATGTGTGGCCATAGAGGAGTGGAACCTGCTAGAGACAATTCAGACAATATATTACAAGCAGCACAAGTATAAGAGCTAACAAGTAGCCTGAATATTATTATAATTGCATAAACTAAGAGTACCTTATATCATATACTGGAGGGCGTAGATCATGTGGACCATGAGCAAATGCACAGTGAAGTCCATTTTTCACACAGTGCCCACGAGCATCGGTTTCATGGATGCATGTACCAGTCTTATAATAGCGTAGATGATATTTTCTTTCTGTGTCTCCAGTTGTTCGATGGAGATATGGACAACTATAAAAGAAATAGTTTGTTTACATTATCTGCAGTTCTTCCACACTCGTTCTTTACAAATTTTAAACACTGCATAGGTATTATGACAAACATATCTCGAGATAAATTGGATTCTTTTTTCTCTGACAAATCATAATGACAGAGACCCCAGTTTCCAACATTATTTATTAGGAAAGACAGTTTCATGTTCATGTACGACTGTATCAGAAATTCATGATCTCAGGTTGCTTAGATGTTTGAAGTTTAAGAACAGCATAAAACATTTAAAAACGGATGAACATTCCACTGAGACCACAGATCAAGTACGATAGGGCTGGGACAGGGAATTCTATTTGGCCTTTTGTACAACTGCATCAAAGAAGAAAAAGTAAATTAACTTCATATGAAAAAGAATAACGGAATTGGTGCCTGTTAATGAATGGAGAAGTTGCACTATTGGCTACTACTCAGCAAGTTAGCATTCTCTCATACCTGCTCATCCAAACTTTGATCCTATTTATGGAAGATTGGTCTTCCAAGTGGAAGGTTTTGCTTTATTGTGGCTAATTGCCAATGACTGAGTGGCTTGGCTGGCCATTTCAGAAGGCAGTTAACAATCAATAAAGGTCACGTGACCCTTAATTTTATCAGTACATAGTTGACAACAGCATCACACACATCAAGTAGCTTCCCTCTTTATGACATGGGCATTAGGTTTGAAGTGGATGAAACTGGATTGAATTACTGTTGAAAATGTACATTCGAAGGCCTGAACTCTTTGGGTATAAATCAACATGATTTACAGGCTGCAGATTTGCTCGCTGAGCCAGCGTGTTTGATTGCAGATGTTTCGTCGCCTTGCTAGGTAACATCATCAGTGCACCTCCAGTGAAGCATTGGTGTTCCGTCCCAGTTGTTATTTATCTGCCTCTGTTTGCTGCGGTGGTTGATATTACTTCCGGTTCTGTTCTTCAATGGTTTGTATGTCGGGTCCAGCTCGGAACTCAGTCAACAAACACATTGAACTGGACCCGACACACAAACCACTGAAGAACAGAACCGGAAGTGATACCAAACACCCCAGCAAACCGAGGCATATAAATAACAAGTGGGACAGAACACCAACACTGAACTGGAAGCGCAAATGACAATGTTACCTAGTAGGGTGACGAAACATCTGCAATCAAACACCTGCTCGGCGAGCAAGTCTGCAACCTCATCCACAACATTCTACAAATCTTCTCAAAAACTTTAATGATTTACAGACATCCAATGATTATGTTATTTTTGAAGTTGCCTTTGAAACATTTAATTAATATATATTAGGTAAGGTAGTAGGTTTTTTTTTAAAAAAGTCATCCACAAGATGAGTGTGTCGCTGGCTAGGCCAGCACTCAGTGGCCATTCCAAATTGACAAGAGAGTCAACCACATTGCTGAGGGTCTGGAGTCACATGTAGGCCAGACCAAGTGAGGATGGCAGAACTCCTTCACTGAAGGACATGAGTGAGCCAGATGGATTTTTCAGACAAACAATGGTTTCATGGTTGTCGTATATTCTTAATTCCAGATATTTTTTAGTGAATTAAAATTCCACCATCTGCTGCGATGGGATTCAAACCCAGGTCCCGAGAACATTAGCCAAGTTTCAGGATTAATAGTCTAACGATCATACTGCTAAGCTACTGCCTCCCATAATACAACATGTCCTTCTGGTCACTTCAATAAGTCTTTCCTTGATACGAATTAGTATTTATGGAAAGAAGATCTGGCCAAAAATATCCCTTGATTCTGTGATTAAGGTAAGACATACTATGTTTCTGATGAGCTCCAAAACATTTTCCACCTTCTTCCTCAAAAGCTTCACACACTAACTGTGGTCAAAATACTACCAAACACATTCTTCCAAGTTTTCCCTTCTCAGTGCTGAAATATGCAACTCCCAAAAGCAGCTGAAGGATGAAAAGTTAGAAATCAAAACCTGGCTCAGTGGCATACAATAATACATTAGCATTTTGATAATCTGTATTGCTATTTTGATAGGTGCAAATTATAAAGATAATTATTCCAGGAAATACTGAATGCATATTCAACGTGAATGAAGAGCTAAACAAAGAATTACAAGCAAATATTCACAATATAGATATTGCCACAATTTTCCGGACATTTAGTGGCATACCACAGGGTTCAGTGCTGGGTTATTTGCTGTCCATTGCATACATTAACAATCTAGACATGAACGTAGGCAGCAAGATCAGAAAGATCACAGATGGCATGAAAGTTGGCGGTGTGGTAAATAGCAAACTACAAGAGGACAGAACAATGGCAAAAGGAATTTAGTCCTGAAAAATGGCCAGGTTGTTCAATGGCATCTACCTGAAATGTGGAAAATTGCCCAGGTATGGCCTGCACACAAAAAGCAAGACAAATGTAACTCAGCCAATTACCACCCCATCAGTCTGTCCTTGATCATCAGTAAAGTGACGGAAGGTGCTCAGCAATAAGCTACTCGGTGATGGCTAGTTTGGGTTCCGCCAGGGCCACTCAATTCCTGACCTCATTACAGCCTTGGTTTAAGCATGGACAAATGTGAAATGAGAGCGACAGCCTTTGACACCAACACCACATGCGACCAAGTGTGGCATCAAGGAGCCACAGCAAAACTGAAGTCAAAGGTTATCAGGAGGCAAACTTCTGATTGGGTCATACACAGCATCAGCATAGAGGGATCTAGGTGTACAGGTCCACAGTTCCCTGAAAATGGCAACACAAGTGGAGAGTGTGGTAAAGAAGGCATATGGCATGCTTGCCTTCATCAGTCATGACAGAGTATAAAAATTGGGAAGTCATGTTGCACGTGTGAAGAACTTTAGTTAGGACATAGTTTGGAATAGTATACAGTTCTGGTTGCCACACTACCAAAAGAATGTGGAGGGTTTAGAGAGGGTACAGAAACTGTTTACCACAAATGTTGCCAGGTTTGTTGGGTATTAGCTATGAGGAGAAAATGAACAAACTTGGTTTGTTTTCACTTGACATGTCAAAGGACGAGGGGCAACTTGATAGCAGTTTACAAAATTATGAGAGGCATGCATAGAATGGATAGTCAAAGACTTTTTTCACAGTGTGGAAATGTCAACTACTTGGGGACATCGGATTAAGGTAAAAAGGGGTCAGTTAAAAGAGCCACTGTGCCGCCCATCTTGGTGGACTGAAGGGCCTGTTTCCTCTGCTGTACAATACTTTGTTCTGCGTGAACCTCCTTTCTGGCTTGGCATCTATTTTTGTTACACCTATATATTAAATGCCTTTGGATTTTTCTTAAATTAAAAAGGTGCTAAACCATTCTGTAGGCCATGAATATAATCACTAAGAGTGGAAAAAGAGGTTAGCAGAAAGTTCTTTTCCAGCATTGTTGCAGTGTATGGAATGCTTTGTCACAGAAAGTAAGCAAGATAAGCTTTAGATAAATATCTGAATCTGGAAGAAGTGTATCTACACAAGTAGATTGGAATCTTTGGGATGAGATGTTTATCAGAGATCTTAGACTCCCAGGCAAATACAAAAAAGACCCCACTATATTATTTTGAACTGAGGATGGAAGTTATCGTCAGTCTTCTAGAGATAATGTATCCTTCAATCAAAAATCACAGCAGCAGATTATCTGGTCTTTGACATGATGCTCTTGTGGAACCTTGTCCATATATTGGGTGCTTACTTTGCTACATGGCAACAATATCATTACTGCACAAAATATTTTATTGGCTGTAAAGCACTTTGTAACCTGTAGAGAGGAAATCTCAATTGGCTGGACAACTGGATTGCAAAGTACAGTGATTGCTGCACCGAATGAGGTTACCATGAAGGACTTCCCTTTATAACTTCTCCCTTCGCCCGAGATGTGGTGACCTACAAGTTAAACTACCAACAATAACGTCTCTTTAATGAGAGAGATGCCCCATTGTCTGGTAAGACTATGGTGACTTTACTTTATCGAAGTAGAAACAAATATTTCTGGCTCAAACCTTTTTACATCGTTGATTACTGAACCATAAGATTACAGTAAAGGAGGCAATTTTTTGGAACATTGTGCTCCTGCTAGCTCTCCAAGATCAAATAAGCAATTTCAGCCACTACAGGATGAAACAAAATAATCCAACTGAGGATGAAATGGTGATTTCTAAATGTTCACCATCACATTCTTGGAGAGACATATTGTTGAAGGTTTTTGTTTCACCAAAACAATGCAAGATTGTCAAATTTTGACAAATCACAGCAATTCATAATGCACGAGAAAACTTTGATTAATTGGCATGTTAAATCTGATTAGGTCATGGTTTTGCTTTGGAGAAAGCAAAGCAGAACTAGAATAGACAGGCAACACAAGAGAGCAGAAACAGAGCAGAAGAAGAAGAGTGAGAGGGAGGGAAAGTCCAAGAGAAAGAGAGCGAGAGAGTGTGCCACTGGAGCATCATGGGAATAGATGGACAGAGATGTCAAAAAGATAAACATCCACCCTTTGATCTATTCTGGTAGCAATGGTGAGGCAGTTCTAGTTATACTTCTGCTCAGTGGAAAATACCCTTCCCCCTTCATCTGCCAGAATATGCCCTTCAATTGCTTCCATAAATATGTCTTTGCTATTTTAGCTTTCCATTTATAATGCTATCGACCTGTATCAAATTTTTCTGTTACTAATGCATGGCAGGTTATTTGAATCAATGTAGAGGCTGGCCCTGTTGACTACTCTGCCTCTTCCTGTACCCACGTAAGAGATCCCACATTCTGAAAGCTGATCGCTAGACAAGATAGTAAATGTAAGCATGAACATCATCACTGCTTCCTTGTTCCAGGCACAGTGGCGTAATGGCAAACTAAAAATATTAGATTTGTAGGTGCAGAGTTGGCCACTGTTGCTGAGATCCCCACTATATGGAAAGGACATACAGAATCATGGAGAACTATCCAAAAATTATTAG